AGTTTTGGGGTCAAAAAATTTACAAGTCGAACATCTCCACCTCAACGATCATGGGTATTGTAGGCACACCTTTTGAAATTGGTTATATTTCTACGTTCCTTGGCATGAAACCTGAAATCTAAAGCTTTAAATTTTAAAACCTAAGCCAAATTATTTCCTAAACCCCAGGAAAAATGGCCGAGAACAGCCTAATAAGCCATTGGAGATTTACTACATAATAAACCTTAGTGTACCCTCACCTGTAGTCCCTAAAACCTAAGTCAATAGTTTCTAGAAAAACCTTAAAAAGATACCTATTAGGAATCCTGAGTACATTAGGATTATCCAGAGTCAACTCAAAATAGGAACAATCAGAACGAAAATAAAATTAAAATTGTCTCAAATCCAATTCGCATTAGGTATTTGTCCACAATGGATCGAAATCTAGATAAGATCAACGTGGCACAAAAATCCAGGAGAGATGCATTAGCGACCGTAAAAATATGATTTGTGTATTGATCCAACGGTCCAAATCAAATTTTAATAACTATAGGAATGTGGAATGATAAATAAAAAAACAAAAATAAAAATTATGAAACCGCGTAAATCAACCTATAAAAGAACCCTTTTCGGGCCTAGAAGTTAATTTCAGAGTAATTCAAAATAATTCATAGTAGTTCAAGAGAGTTCACAAATCCTAAAGGGTTTAAAGATTCCCAAAGAGACCAGAGAGAGACCCTAACCTAAGCCGAAACTAAACTCTGCAGCTTCATCCTTCGTAGCCATGAAAACCCTAGAAAACCTTGAACAAGTTCAAACTCTAGGCCTATGTAGCTGAGCCCTAGAAATGAAATTCACTTTAGATCAATTTCAAACCAATAACAATCTCAACAATGTCCTTCAAGCATGAGAAGGCAAAAGATGTAAATCAACCTTTAGTCTAATACGAGTCCCCCAAATCCAGATTCTAGATATCCTAGGCCAAAAGGCTTAGCTCTTGTAAAAAATCTTTTCTTCCGCATTTATTTTCTTCAAATTATATGTTAAAAATATTTGCTTTGGCTCAAAATATCGGCCGGCTTTACCAACAATCCAAAGAGGAATTGGTCTCTCAGGATTAACTCGTTTGTGTATTGTAATTCCAACCGCCCACACGAATCTCTATCGAATTTATCAATATATCTATTTTAGAGCCGAGGAAATTTCACACATAAATATTCTTGCTGTAACCAGGTCTGAAAAAGTTAGATTTTAAACGCCAAGAATAATCCATCTTATAATGCTTTTTTTGGGTCGTCTTTTTTAAGTCTTTATAAATCCACCAGATCTTATAAAACACTATATTTCACAATAAGGGGCGGAAATGAATTGGCATATTGTTTGAGGTTTTTGGATATGGCGTTTCCACCGGTGATGTACAGTGCAGCATTACCAAAATTTGTAGGGAAAATTTTGTATAGAACTTCAATTTCTCGTATGATTTTATGGTAGACCTTCTTCTATTTTTCTGTCAAGCGGTATAAGAAAACCATTAAAGATTTCACCACTCATCACTTATCTCTTTCTTTTATTGACTTTTGATCATAAAAATTAGCCTCAACAAATCTTTTTATATCATTTCAACCCAAAGAGGCAAAAAGAGGCTTAAAAAAAATTTGGGATAAATTGATATAAAAATATTTGTTGGGGCTATTTTTATGGTAAAAAGTCAAATAAAAAATGGAAATAATAGATGAGGGGGCACGATGAAATCTTTAGGGATTTCCTTATGCCGTTTGAAAAAAAAAACAAAAAGAAAGTATATCATGAAATAATATGAAGAATTAGGGTTCTATACAAAATTTTCCCGAATTTTTTGTAAAGCCATGACATTGCCTAAACCTCATAAGTTTTTTTTTTTTTTCTTTTCTTTTAACCAATATCATTATTATAGAGTATATTCGTCCAATAAGAGATGTACAGTAAAAGGCGTAAAATGCAAAGGAAAAATTAGTAAACACACTGGAATAGTCTGGTGGAATGACTAGTAAATAGGTACATTCGATAAAATGTGGTACGAGGGCCTGGCCACGAACAATGTGAGCTGATTTTCGCCTCAATTAGGGCTTGGGCCACAAAATGTGGCCAAGCCACCATGGCCTGAGGCTGGGCTTGGGCCAAAGCCAAGACAGACCCAACGCGATTCAGCCATTTCACTCTTTATATATTTCTTTTATTTTTTTTTATTTGGCCCATCTGCCCAGGTCCTAGCCCAACCCTGCCCTATTAACTCCAGGCCAGGCTTGGGCCAAATCCTCTTTGGCCATGTCAAGGCCAAGCCGAACATAGGCCGGTGGTATGGGGATTAGGGCCTGCCCAGCCTAGGCCCGGCCTGTTGCCAACCCTAATCCGGTCGCCAAGTGGCAAGCTAATCTGCAAGCCGATATGAATTTGTTCAAAGTTTTTATCTTATCGCTTTAATTATCTGCACTCGTCCTCTCTGTCCAATAAACTTTATAAAAAACAAAAAACTCACAAAAAATAAATTTATGATTGGAGAAAGATATCAAAAATAATTACTCTGAAAATAAATAGCTCTAGATATCTGAAAAAAGTAACTTGTTTTCTTAAATAAACTCTAGATAAACTTCATATTACGTCTCTCCCCATGCCTACGCATCCCAACAATACAATTGTTGGTTCATCTCTATAGTGCTCTAAGCACTAGCAATCTGAATCAGAATCTATCAATAGGCGGTCCAGTGATGACCCGACTAGAGCAATTTTTCGGACATCAGGAATCACCCAATTTTTCAAGATAGGCGATATGCCTATTTCAATCACTGAGACAACCTTTTCACTTCGTTTTTTTCTCTCCTTTTTCACCCCGATCCTCCATCTTCTCCCTCCTCTTAGATAAATTCAATTCTATCTCACAGAATCATCACCATGGTTTTCACTGCTATGGAAGATCTATGGTATAGTTTTTTCTCGGATCTGACAAATCAGATGTTCGAAACATTGATGATTTTTCCTCTAATCGAAGCCCAAATTTGACAAATCAGATGTTTGAAACAATTTTTTCTATTTTTTTTCTTTTGTTTTTTAGTAATTTAGTGGGAAAACTAGGCCCTACCTGTTTTTGAAATGGTTTTCACAAATCAGACGTTTGAAACATTTTTTTCAATTTTTATTTATTTTTTTTAGTAATTCAATAGGGAATATAGGCCTCCCTGTTTTTGAAATGGCTAGTGGTGTTTTAAGCTCAGTGGGATGCAATTGAGATATGGGGAGTGCTACCACCACACCCCAACCCCGACCCCAAGCCCTTTTCCGACATTGATGTTTTTGTCTTCTTTTTCTGGGTTATTCAGTGGAGTAGACAGCCCCTTTACCTTTTTTCAACAGACCAAGGAGTTACATTTTGAAGGTAGGCCCTACCTATTTTTTGAAATGGCTAGTGATTTTTTAAGGTCAGTGGGATGCAACTGAAGTGCGGGGAGTGCCACCACCACAACCCTAACCCCGACCCCAACCCTTTTCCTGAACTGGATGTTTTTTTTTTTTTGGATTATTCAGTAGGGAAGACATGCCCTTACTTTTTTTTTTTTAATAGATCAGGGAGTTACATTTTGAAACTGTTAATCGGAAGTGTCGGGGGTAACAACGGATACCACAACGTGAGAACAGGGGGAGGGGATGCTACCACCCGATCCCAGCCCCTTTCCCACATTGATGTTTTCTCGTTCGAAGGTAAGTGCACATCACTGTCAACATCAACTTTCTAGACACTAGTCAACACTCTTGTTACAGCTCGCGTGACTTCGTGAGAAAAACAAATCACCACCATCCAATTCCTACCACAGAGGGGGTGATGATTCGCGGACTAGCCATAGCCCATAAGCCCACTATAAAAAGGAGTCGTGACATCACCATCGCTCTGATGAGGATCCAACGGTTGGTGACTAGGGCTCACGGTGAAACCTGTAGGACAAGATCCTACCGGATCATTGCCCACTGTAAAAAATACACAAGTCCAAGGAATCACGGAAAGCAGAGTCCTTAGGGTCACCTTCATCGCATGAGATGTATGGCGATGAAGAGAGTAGGAACCACGAGAGCATGACAAGATACGGATGGCAAGTCACGCTCTCTCCATCACCATCCATTTCAATTGTCGTAGATGACACCATGGATTATGGCTTTTGAATAGTCCTTAGGATTATGGAATACTTTTCCAAATAAATACTGTGCACTGCAGCCTACATTTTCAAAAGGCAGTTCAGGATCTCGAGTCGCATCGTTCATGCTTCCAAAGGAAATCAATAGAAGGTAGCATGCATACCTTCAAAACAAAGATAGAATTTTGTTCTTAAAAATACAAGGAGCTTAATTTTGAGAAAAATAAGCACAAGGGATCGAGCCAAAAACAATCGTCACGTGAAAGATATTCATGCTACCCTTCATATGGATCTCCTCTAAATAGCTTTTTTTTCACAGAATACTAGTAATTCGGTGTCCCAAAATAAAAGTAAATGAATGACTCCCAGCTCATACGATGGAGATCAATAGTTCAAAATTACGACCAGCTTGTGTATCAACATGACATTAAACCTGTTTTTAGATTTCAGTCACATTGCATAAGAATATTAATCACGAATAAGAAGAAACGAAACACAAAAATATTTTCCGGTAGTCCGGCAAAAGCAAAATAGATGCAACATAAAACAATAACCACAATGCAGGCCACCTCACTAAACCCCCCTATCCCCTTACCCCCCACACACACAAGAAAAAACAAAAATGCCCAAAACAAAACAACACACAGACAAACATACGAGTGCACGTGCACCAGTGCTGATCAGAATTAAAAGCATTAACGCAGCTCTTGCCATTTATTGAGGATGGCACTTTAAGGGGAAACCAAAAATCAAAGTTTTGGAAACGACTACCTCAGATTTTCAGAATTTATAGTACTTCAAATAGAAAGGACATCGAGTGAAAAATCAACCTCAAAAGACATCGTTTAAGAATGGAAAGGGACTAAGGAAATCTTCCACCACCAAGGCTCCAAAGGTATAATAAGCAACATGAAAGTTGTGCACCGAGCAATTATTTATGCTTATAATAAACCAGTGAGAAAAAAGAAACATAATTGGAAATGAAAGGAAAAGAGCAATAACTATTTCAAAAGCAATATCAATTAGGACAACAAAATGCACAGAGCCAACTTAGTTTAGAGGGGAATCAAGTAATGTACCTGTATACCAACACTCCAACAATAACAGAAGTAAGAGCACATAATGCTCCCCTCCTCGAAAGCCCAAACTCTCTCCATGTTAAGGGCTTTCTAACCTGATTCAGGACCTTGCGGAATTGCTCCTCTGTTTCTTGTAAGGATCCTGAATTATCAATGATTATATCAGCTTTGTCCCTTTTCAAGTCAAGCAGCATCTGTGCACTGATCCTATTCAATGCTTGCTCTTCAGATATTCCATCCCTTTCCATGAGCCGCTGAAGTTGTGTGCTGGGGTCCACCCATACAACAATGATAGGCTTAGTTACGCCATCCATTTTCACCTCAAATAGTAAGGGGACATCAAGCACAATAACATCACAACCTTTAATCCATAACTTTGCTATTTCCGAGTACATGCCAAAGGCAATAAATGGAGCCAATAACCTGAAAGGAATACAAAATAGAATACATTAAATATGTTATTTTCTTCTTGTTGGGCTTGAATTCCCAGAAAAGGATAAAAAACTAAAATACAAATGAGATCTAATTTAAAAGATAAATAAATCGAATGCATAACAAGGATGCATATTAAGACCACCAAAATCTAGAAAAATCGCAAATGAAATTTAGATAGTTGTGCACCCCACCCCAACTAAGTATTTTTCCCTTTTTCTTATTTTTGAACATTGTTCCAACTTGGGACCTTTTTTCTTAAGTCAACTTGGAGTTTATTTTGTTTGAACAACAGAGATAATAATCAAAACAATCAAATTTTATGTTCTAATGTTTCAACCACCATGGCTTCCACAATCTCAATTCCAAAACATAACAGAGAAAAAACATAACAACCAAGACACGCATAGCATTTGAGAAAATTACGCATACTAGAACACGAACAAAACTTGTATCTCTTTCCAAACCAAGAGTATGACAATACAGCATAATTTCATTTCTCAAACCATTGAATTACACAATTAGGATTTCAGGTATCATCAAGTGTGTACCTAAAACTCAACATACCTGACAATAAGCCTCACGTTCAGTCAAGGAGAAGAATCAATAGCCATGATGGATCTCCTTAGCTTCTATGACATCATCTTTCTCAATGGAAACTCTATCATCAAATGTTTCTTTCGAACCCAATCTCAAAACTAGATTCTGGTTTTTTTGTTGCTTTGATGGGAGCTCCTGTTTTTTTCGACCTCCTGCATTATGCAATTCCATAGGGCGATCACCCAAAAGGTTTAGAGAAGTATACCATACATCTTCCCAACGGAGGCTGTTAAAAGGCTAGGGCGGCTCGTGGCCTTACGGTCAGGTCGGCTGCTAGGACAGGATTCGGGCCCATATTCAAGGTCCACAGGCCAGGCCCGGACGACCATTGGAGGCCCATTTCAACGTTGGACATGGACCGAGCCCGGCCTGAGCCCATCCCGAATCTATATAATCCAAATTATAGAATACAAGGTACTTAGTCTATGGGCTGTGTTTATCATAGCCAATATACTACCAGTCATTCAAAATTTTAAAAATATCTCAAAATAAAAGCCCCAACTGCTGTATTCGAACTCAAGACCTCTCCAGAAGTGCAGGATGTTCTACCACTTTGAAAATCACAAAGTAGTGTAGCAATAGCTGCAGAATAAGTGACAACATAGTTTTCCGTTTTCCCCCCTGCAAAACTCCTCTCTCTGAAAGACCTAGAAGGGTTTTTAATACATCTACCATTTCCATTTCCCACTTCATGCAGTATCTGTTATAGCTTGCAAGGCTTAATTTGCATGAGCTTTCTTGCAGTAAGGCTGTAAAAGTTGAAAGAAAGCAGGGAGAGAGAGGATTAGAGAGAGAGAGAGAGAGAGAGAGAGAGAGAGAGCAGTAGTAGAGACGAGCGACAAGTAGTTACGTAGTGTTACGAGAAGGTACTAGTAGGAAGAAAGAAAGTAAAGAAGTAGACGAAGACGAAGGAAGGGG